AGAAACATGAAGCCACCAAAGGAACAAAATAAAGCTCCAGTAACTAATCCTAATGAAATGAAGATCTATGATCTCCCTGACAAAGAATTCAAAATAATATTTTTAAAGAAGTTCAGTGAATGACAAGAGTACACAGATGGACAATGAAGCAAAATTAGGAAAACAACACATGAATAAAGTGAGTAGTTCAACAAAGAGATAGAAACCACAAAAAAGAACCAAACAGGATTTCTGGAGCTGAAGAACACAGTCACTGAACTGAATAATTCAGTAGAGAGCTTTGACAACATACCCAATAAAGCAGAAGAAGGAATCAACAACCTCAGAGACAGGTCATTTGAAATTAGCCAGTCAGAGGAATGAAAGAAAAAGGAAAAAAAAAAAAAAAGAGTGACAAAATCTGTGGGATTTACAGGACACTGTAAGCAAATTAATGTATGCATCATAGGAGTTTTAGAAGGAAATGAGAAAATGTACAAAAGATTTATTTAAACAAATAATGGCTGAAAATTTTCCAAATGTGGGGAGGGAAATGGACATCCAGATTCATGAAGTCCAAAGACTAAAGAGTAGAACCTAGAGAGGTGTGAACTAAGACACATTATAATTAAATTGTCAAAAGTCAAAGACAAAAAGAGAAAACAGTAAGAGAAAAAGGACTCATCACTTTCAAGGGAACTTTCCTCCCCACTGCCCAAGAAATCTTGCAAGCTAGAAAGAGTGGGATGTTATCAAAGTGTGCAAAGTTTTTACTTTGCACCAAGCAAAAGTTTTTACTTTGCCATCATCCAAAAAGTACTATACTTGGCAAAATTGTCTTTTAAAAATAAAGAAAAAATAAATACTTTCCCAGACAAACAAAAGATGAGGGAGTTTGTTACCACTAACCCTGCCTTGTAAGTGCTAAAGGGTGTTCTTCAAATTGAAATAAGAGGATGCTAAACAGCAACGTGAAAGCATAGAGAAATACAAATCTTACTGGTAAAGATAAATATACAGTCAAATGCAGAATAATATAATACTGTATTGGTAGCATGTAAATCACTTTTAACTCTAGCATAAAAGTTAAAAGACAAAAGTATGAGGACTAACCTATGACAACAAAATTGGTTAATGGATACACAGAAAAAGAGGTGAATTCTGTCATAAAGTGATAGGGAGAGGGAGTACAAGTACGGAGTGTTTGCATGTAATTGAAGGTATCAGCTCAAAATAGGCCAGTATAACTATAAGAAGTTTTGGTTCTACAAGATGAGTAAGTCCTAGAGACCTGCTGTACAGCATAGTGCCTATAGTTAAAAATATTGTATTACATACTTAAAATTTGCTCAGTGAGTAGATCTTATGTTAAGTGTTCTTATCACATAATAAACAAACAAATAAAGAGGGTAGGAGGAAACTTTTGGAAGTCATGGATAGGTTTATTACATAGATTATGGTGACTGTTTCACTGGTGTGTACACATCTCCAAACTCATCAAGTTGTATACATTAAATGTGTATAGCTTTTTGTATGACAATTATTACTCAATTAAACTGGGTTAAAAATGTAAACACACACACACACACACACACACCCCAAATAAAGCAAAAAAGAAATCTTGGTACTTAGGGAACAAGAAGGGAGCCCTGCATTTGGATAGATAGTGATGTCTTGATTCTCAAGCCTGGAAGAGGACAAATGCCAAGGTGACTCTCAAGGATTTCCAACAAAAAGGAGACCATGTGGCTTCCTTAGGAAATGTTGAAAGTCAGCCGGTCCAACCCTTGCTTGTACAGTTGAGAACACTGGGGACCAGAGAGGGTAGGTGACTTGTGCCAGGCTGCATGAGTCAGCAAAGCCACGATGAGCATTTGGGGTACTCACCTCGGCATTTGTCTCACTGTGCTGCTGCTTATCTTTGCTGCAGCGACAAGTTTAACCTACCAGAAAGTGTGGAGGTGTTCTTGACTCCTCCCCTTGTCTCACATATAAAATCCAGCAGGTCGAGAAATCCAGCTGGCTCTTTCCTCAAATTCTATCCATAACTGGCCACCTCTCATGCCCTCCAGGGATTCTCATACTATCCTCCCTGGCAGGAGCCTCTGCCATCTCCTGGGATTGACTCTTCTCCCTCCTTTCACTGTCACATCGCCTACAGTCTTTTTTCCCAGGCAGCTGCCAGAGCGATCATTTAAACAAGCCAAGTCACATCAGTCCTGTGCACAAAACCTTCCAAAGCTCTACACTGCACTCTGTGTGGGAGCAGATGTCCTGACAACAGCTCACAGGGCTTCCATGACCTGTGTGGAGACCCCTCATCACTGCATCTCTCTGACTATGCCCATACTCACTCCCTCACCCTCACTGCACAAGCCATACCAGCCTCCTTGCTCTTGATGGGAACACGACAGGCCTGTTTGTTCCCACTGTGGGTCTTTGCACAAGCTCTTTCCTTGGCCCACGTGACTTGCACTTACCTCTTCAAAACCTTTGTCCAAATGTCCCCTTGTCAGTGAAGCTTACTCTAACCACAGCCAAAGTTGTACCCACTCTTTCTTCCGGCTCTCCTGACTCCCCTTAACCTGTTTCTTTCTTCTTTCTGTAATAACACTTATCATCATCTAACATATAATTTATTCATCTAAGCTTATCATTTATCTCTTCCACTGTAACGTGAACCCACAAAAGTATGTGTTTTTGTCTGTTTCATTTACTGGTATATTCCTAGCTCATCTAAAGGTACCTGGCTTATAGCAGGTGCTCAGTAAATGCTGGTTGCCTGAAAGAAACAAATAGAGACCAGCATGAGACTGGCCCCTCCAGAGCATCAGCTTTGAATTCCAGTTTCTATTTTGCTTCCCTTGTTTAGCGTGTCTACCATGGAGGAGCCCTGTCACCTTCAGACACACTAAGCTCTTCCCCAAGGGTTAGAGTTAGTGTGGAGTTGTCCTTCTGTGGCCTGCAAGTGGTGAGGTAGCCACGTGGCCACAAGAACAAATGGCTGGAGGACATTGATTTCTTATAGAATTCAATTTGTAAGGTGCCTCCCCAGGACCCCTCTGCTGTCTTGGTTTCCCTTGGAGCTCTGTCCCGCAGATGCAGAAAGAAGGTCCTCATCTCGGACTGGTGCTTCCTGGGGCTGGGCCAGAAACTGCTCCCTCTGTATCCATCCTTACACTCTGCTCCCAGCAGGTGACTGTCCTCTGTGTCTTTCTCTTGTGAGGGATGTGTGCATGAGCGCATGTGCGTGTATGTATATGTGTATGCATGTGCACCCATGTGAAAGAAAGAGACCAGGAAGACCCCTACTCTCTCCCGTGGTGTTTGGCTCTTTTCTTGTGCCCCTTCCCTGAGCCTGTATCTCTGAGACAGTTCCAGAAGATTATTTTTTATTCTTGCCTTCAGGCACAGAGAGCTCTACTCAAGGGCCTGGGGCTGAGGCAGTTTGGCATAAGCGCCTCCAGACTGCTGCTGTGCTGTATAAAAGGCAGGCACTTTCCCCATTAAGTCCCATTTCCATCCCGTTCTGGGTGTGACACAGAAGGCGCCCTGTAGGATGGTGTAGGAGGCAGGGGCAGGCCTTGGTCCCTGGCCAAGGACCCTGCTTTGTGAAGGATCTCATGGGCTGGTTAATTTCCCTAGGAATTAGGTTTGTTCTCTGCCTGGAGACTCTGTACCCCACCTTTGATCTCCATGAAGATGTTGCCTTCCTCTGGGACCTGGCTTCGGTCTTGCCTCCTCTGTGACTCTCTGGCCAGCTATGAGTGACCTTCTGTTGAAAACAGATGCTCAGTGCCTCAAAGAAAAGTTAGCACTGAGACAACAGATCTCTCAGCACAGCAGTTTTTACTTTTTCTCTTCTTGTGCTGCAGGAAGAGTACCCTCGCTAGCCATCTGGCCAAGAGAGTACAATGAAAATAGGAGGCAGACATATTTATCCCTTATGCATTTGGGGTTGTCCTTACTGCTGTGTTAGTAGCACACTTATGATTTATTCTTTAACAAGAAAAGAAACTTTAAGGAGAAACTTTTCTACTTTCTGTTCTCCCTGAAGATTTTGCCGTCCTCTGGGACCTGGCTTTGATCTTGCCTCCTCTGTGACCCTCTGGCCAGCTGTGAGTGTCCTTCCCAGGAAGGCTAAGAGCATACGATCTGTGCCCCTTACCCGGTCATATTTCCTTCTCTGGCTGTGGCTCTTCCCTGCCCCTGTCTCCAAGTGAGGTCAGGTTTTTCAAAGGCAAACTGTCCACCTAGTTTTATCTCCCCCAGCCTGTAGGTGAGAGCCTGTTCTGGTGGGACCTTGCCTGCCTAATGAAGGCACCTGCTCCAGGCCAGCTCCAGAGGCCAGCTACTGGGCCTGGCACACAGCAGAAGGTCAGTCAGTATTTGTGGACTAGATAAAGACACGCTGCAGATATTGGCTGCTCCCTCCTGAGTCCAGTTCGTTCATTTCAACCAAGGCTGCTTGGGGACTTGGTATATACTAGTTGCCAGAGGGGACACAAAGGTGAATAGACATGACTTCTGCCTTCAAGGGGGACAACACAGAGTCCAGTGGCTACCCTATAAGACGAAATGTAGCCAACAGCAGTCCCAGGGGAAGGCTTGAAGGGCTTGCTCCACAAGTGCCTACCTGAAAGGATGGGCTGGGTGGGACCTTTGTGGGACACGAGACCCTTGGAGTCTCAAGAATGTGCTGGCCCAAACCGCGACTTGCCTGGTGGGATGATGATTCCTGGTTCTCTCACAGGTTGGAGGGGAATTAGGGGCTCCATAGATGTGTCTAGGCCTGTGAGTTTGGAACAGCAAGGGCAGGTTTATTGGGATGCAGGGTCTCTTTGATATGCCTATTAAAAGAGGCAGGTTTCAGCTGCCCTTGTGGTCTGCCTAGTGGGAGATTCCCACATTCATAAAGGGCGTTAATAACATTCTCTGCCTTTTATGTTGTCAGGAGGCCTATCCTCTGCCCAATAAAAGGCAGGAGAAATAACAGGCCTCCAGTGTGAGACAGCGTCCTTCAATCCTCAGTCCAGGAGACTGTCCTGCAGAGCAGAGGCATGGCGAGCCAATCCTACCACACCAGCTCTGATTGCAGGGTCAGGAACTTTAGCTCCCGCTCTGCCATTGTGCCCAAGCCTGGGGATCGCTGCTGTGTCAGTGCCATGGCCCATCATGGGGGCAGTCCCAGGGGGCTAGGCTACAGGCGCCTTGGAGGCTTTGGCAGTCGGAGCCTGTGTACATTGGGGTCTCCCCGGACTGCGGTGAGTTGTGGATGGCCTCTACACGCCAGGGGCAGGTTTGGCTACCAGGCTGGGGGCCTTTGCAGGCCCAGCCTCCCCTGCATCACATCTGTGACCATCAATGAGAGCCTCCTCACGCCCCTCAACCTAGAGATCGACCCCAATGCCCAGTGTGTGAAGCACGAGGAGAAGGAGCAGATCAAGTGTCTCAACAACAAATTTGCTGCCTTCATTGACAAGGTGGGTCTGTGTGCTGTTCCCTGGGACTGTGGCTTAGGAAGGGGAAAGGGACTTTGAACCCAATGATGGGGTAGTTCAAATTCTCCTGCCACTGATTAGCATGTGGCCTTGGGAATCTGGCTGAATCAGGATCTTGGTTTTCAAATGTTGCCATGAGATTCAAATGCAATAATGCATCTGAAACCACCGGACAAAAGAGGAGGGTTTGCTGCTGTTGCTCACAGGCAAGCAGCAAGCACGCTGAGTGTGTGTGTGTGTGTGTGTGTGTGTGTGTGTGTGGTCCATCTTCCGGATTTCACTGGCTCACAGTAGGAAGGTGTGGACAGAGCGCACAGCTCTGCTTACGTGTATCTGACCTCCCCATTAGATGCTGCCATCACCAGCATGGAGCAGAAGCCAGGATAAAGAGGGATCAGAGGCTCCTTTCCTGCTCCTCTTTGGTGGGGACATCACAGGAAGGCTGTGAATTCTTGGGACTGCCCAAGGCACTTTATACCCTTCAGCACATGCATAGATTAAAGGCAGAGAGTTGAGAAACTTAAGGCATGATCTGCAGAGAGGCTGTTGAATTGCATTTTCTGAGTCCTCCCAGTTATGTGTATAGCTCTGGTTTCCTTTAACCTAATGATGTCCTCTCTAGGAGCTCACAGTCTTTGAGGGAAGACAGCCACCAAAGTTTAAGGGACGAGAAGCTCGACTTCCAGGGCTGGATGGTGTGCATATTTACACCCTGAGTCTGCATAAGAAGGCATAAACCAGGGCGATGGTAGGTGGGAGCTCTGCTGTCAGACCAACGCTACATCAGAAATGGGCATATCTGTACACAGAGGTGCTGGGCATCCATTGTTAACATACTGCTGGCTGTCCAGATTACTCTTCCCTTCCATCGGCACAAAGGAAGCTGACGGTAGATTATGCAGGCTATTCCTTGCACAAGGACAACTACCAAGAGCAGGAGATGTTGAAATCCAGTCCAGGCTTTGCTTGCTGAGCTGTGTGCCCTGGCAGGTGGCTGGAGGCATCTTTTCAGAATTTGCTCAAAAGCACAGTGAGAGCCCTGAGAGTGCAGGCTCAAAAGGGTTTTTGCATGTGTCTTTTTGGGCATCACCCATGAACGCTGATCTCTCTGTTGAGAGGTGTCAGTTCTGGGTCCGGAGAGAGGAAGTTATACCATTGCACCAGGCTGGCATTCTTCCCGCAGGCTCCAGCATTCTTCCTGCAAGCTCCAAACTGCATTGTGTTCCAGACTACAAAGTGCATTGACATGGTGGCTTTAATCCTGCCAGAGGGCTGTCCCATGGCCTGGGTCTGCATGTTGAAACCCAAGTCAGATGCCTTTTGATAATCAGAGTTTTGGTTCCTTTTCCCGCAAGCACGGATAGTCAGGCAGTTGTGGGTTGTTTGTACCAGGCTTGTGCTCCCAAGACGTTAGGGTTGGAGAATAAACATCTGCTTTAGGCTCATAACTGGAAACTTCAACAAGGGCTTGGCAGGTCACATGAATGAAGCCAAACTGAGAGGTATGCTCACGTAGAGGGGCAGCAGCTGCTGTTCACTCCAGCCACAGGCCTACCTACCCTTGCCAGAACTTCTGGTATGTCAAGAGGGTCAGAGAGATCCAGATTCTTACTTGAAACCACTCAATTATTAAGTGTTGGCAACTAATCAGATCTCTATAAAACAGGGTGCAGGCCAAGTAAAGCGTGCCTGTGGACCTGATAGGGCCTGGAGCCACCAGTGTATCACTGCAAATGTCTTTCTCCTGTCTTGTTTTACAATGACATACAGTGAGAATGACGTGAAGTGGTCTGGTTGGTGATGGAGTTAGAATGAGATGTCTCTTAATTCCTGATCTGGGATCCCCACTCCTGGGCTTCAGCACCCCAGCATCAGAATAAGGGATAGTCATGGTTCATACATTTTAAAATTGCTGCTGTACAAATGCCCACAAACTTAGCAGCTTAAAATAACACAAATTTACTACCTCAAGAGTCTGATGTTAAGATGTTGGCAGGGCTGCATTTCTTTTTGGAGGCCTCAGGGGAGACTCTGTTTCCAGGGACATTCAGGCTTTTGGCAGAATTGAGATCCTTGTGGTTGCAGGACTGAGGTCTCTGTTTCTTGCTGGCTGGCTACTGGAGGTTGTTCTCAGCTTCCAGAGGTCTTCTACATTCCTTGGCTTGTTGCCCCGACTTCTTCTATCTTCAAAGCCAGTAATAGTGGGTTGAGAGTCCTTCTCATGTTTCAAATCTGTCTGGTGCAGACACTTTTGGGGGGCTTATTATTTGCCTACTATGCAGAGTGTGAAATATTTCTGCAGGATCAGATGTTATTTCATTCTGTGTAGAATAAACAAATTGTTATAAATAGTGTGCTCTTTTTGGGAGGCAGGGAGGGTGGAGGGAAGCTACTTGGGGACTACTTGTGACCTGCACTTTCAGACTTTGCCAATGATTTGGCCTCCTGGGGAAGGTGACAGGTTTCTGCAGGACAGGGGCCATCCTCAAGGGCAGTCAGAACTCTGGGGGACCAGGTAACCCCCGCCCTCAGGCTTCCCCCTCAAGTCTCTTTCCTCCTTCCTGAATGACAGGTGCGCTTCCTGGAGCAGCAGAACAAGCTGCTGGAGACCAAGCTGCAGTTCCACCAGAACCGCGAGTGCTGTGAGAGCAACCTGGAGCCCCTGTTCCAGGGCCACATTGCAACTCTGCGGCGGGAGGCTGAGTGCATGGAGGCCCACAGCGGGAGGCTGGCCTCAGAGCTCAACTGCACGCAGGAGGTGCTGGAGGGCTACAAGAAGAAGTGAGCATGTCAGGGCTGGGATGGTTCTAGGGAGTAGAGTCTGTCTTAGCTGGGATCACACAACTCCTACAGAAGCAGAGATTGCTGAAGGTCAGGGTTGCCCTGATGAGCTGTCAGACACTTCTGCCTTACCAGTCTGCTTTGCCTTGTGTCAGCTCCCAGCTCTTGCAGTCCTGTGCTGGGGGCTGGGGAAAGATTTGTAAAGAAGAGCTCCCAGTCTGGGAGGGATGGGACACACATCCAGGGCATAGACTGATGCAGAGATGAAGAGGTAGGAAAAAAATGAAACAGGAGGAGCAAGGCCAGCAGGACTGAACAGCAGGAGCCTGGAGCCATTAGAGCTAGGATGGGGGGAAGGGAAAGCCCCTGGAGAGGTATCTGAAAATGAACTGGCTGATGCCATTCCAAGTATCTGATGAACTTGGATTATCTCTTTATTTATTCTGCAGATAAATCATCACGCTCTCAATTCCCCAAGGCTCCGCAATTCCAATTCCAATGTAAATCTGTTTTTTCCTGAGTTGTTTAGTTTGTCCATTACCCAGTCTAAATTCACTGTGTCACTGTACTTACCTTATAGAAACAGACGGAGGGAAGGGTGATTTTGCCTGTAATCAGTTCTGGTAATTCCAACCCTTCTTGGGATTCTTGGAGGTTCAGGTTTTACCATCCGGCTGGACCCAGCAGTGGGTCCTCACTTCCCTTAGAGTGAAGCAAATATAGACACAATCCTCAGTGTGCAGGTGTCAAGGTCTGTCTCCCACTCCGGGGCTGTGCGGGCCGGTAATTACAGAGCTGAGTGCAGCCCAAAATGACTGTGTAATTAAAAAGTAATGAAAACCATGTTCTGGGAACTCTGGTCTTCCTTGTGGGGGCAGGGCTGCTCCGGGGATATGGTCTCACAGGCAGGGGGAAGAGGGCCCGGCTGGTGAAAGAGGGAATGCCCTGAACAAGGGGTGCTTCTAGGAATTCGAGTCCTTGGATATTGGGGCAAGGGGAATAAAACCCATGGGGTGGCTTCATAGAGCTTTATGTTTTGTACAAGGTAGAATTTAAAGGCTCTGTGGAACATGTCTGTTTTTAACTTATCCCACAAATATTTACTGAGTGCCTTACTGCACACCTTGTGATTTAGCCTAAGATGCAAAGAGATTAAATGACTTGCCTCAGGTTTTGCAGCAACTTCAGTCTAAGCTGGGACCAGATACCAGGGACTTGGACTCCAAGTCCAGTGTCCTTCCAATGGGTTCTTTGTGGCTGGGAAATAGAAGTCCAGAGAGGCCAAGCCTCTGCTCCAAAGGCACAGAGAAAGGAGAAAACCAGGAAGTTTGGCACACCTGGACTCTGGCCCCGCCAGGTCCTCAGTCCCAGGGTCCTTTCCACCTGGGTTGTCTCTACTCAGGTATGAAGAAGAGCTGGCCCTCAGGGCCACAGCTGAGAACGAGTTCGTGCTGCTGAAGAAGGTGCGTGACTATTCTCACATGGGAAGAATTAAATCCTGGGCACTGGACGCTCTGAGGCCACAGGCCCCGCCATGTTCCATCAGTGCAATTGTTGGTGGGAAGGCACTGGAGCCCCTGGCACAAGAAGGTGGGTTATATTGGCTGCAGAAGCCATCGAGGAGCCCATGCAGGAACCCAGGTGGTGCCGACGGAGGCTTTGTAAAAAGAAAACCTCACCATGCTACTGCTTGACTTTTTAAAAACTACTGGATTGGCTGAAATGTTCAATTTTAATTCTGTCACCTGGGCATTGCCTTCTCCTGTTATCCCAGACTGGGTGTTGTTCTCAGCTTATTAATGATTTCAAAGTGTGGCCGTCATTCAATGCAATTGGTGATGATGAAAAACCCAGAGGAATAAAGCCGCAAATGATTTCCCTTTTGTTTCATCTTGGTGAGTGAAAGTACATGTGAATGTTCTTTTTTTTTTTTTTTTTTTTGAGACAGAGTTTCACTTTCGTTGCCCAGGCTGGAGTGCATGGCGCTATCTTGGCTTGGCTCACCACAACCTCTGTCTCCCGGGTTCAAGTGATTCTCCTGCCTTAGCCTCCCGAGTAGTTGGGATTACAGGCGTGCACCACCATCCCGGCTAATTTATTTTTCAATTTTGTGTTTTTAGTAGAGATGGGGTTTCTTCATGTTGGTCAGACTGGTCTTGAATTCCCAAACTCAGGTGATTCACCTTTCTCGGCCTCCCAAAATGCTGGGATTACAGGTGTGAGCCGCCGCGTCCAGCTGTGAATGTTCTTTAAAAAGCAATGTGCTTGCTTGCCAGCTTCCTTATTTGTGAGTATCACAGAGTGGAGAGAGGGCTGCTGACAGATCTGCCAATAGAGGCTCGGCCTGGGTCTCAGGCATGAGAGTCAGCTATTTGGATTTTGGGTATTTCTTGACCTGGGCTCTGAGGACAACCTCTAGAGAGGCTCTGTGACTGTCACATGCTTGTGCTCTGTGGGTCAGCCTGACTGGGAGGCAGCAGCCTGACGTTCTGGGCGGTGACGTCAGGTTTCCTTCTTTGGCAAGGTCCTCAGCTCTGGAAGGGGTCAGACCTCTCTCCCCTCTCCCCAGGTAGTCTCATTTATGCAATGGGAGGTAACTCACTGGCAGATTACAAAGGCTCTCCACTTCTAGTGGGGCCCTGAAGGCGAAGATGAGAAGTCTAGGTTAGACCTGTAAGTGCAGGGTGGCTGGGCAGGAGCAGGCTAGAGGCAGGGAGGTGGGCCAGGAGATGGCTTAAGGGCCCGTTGGGGAGTGCCGGGGCTCAGGGCACAGCGAGGGGACCAAGGCCACTTCCCACCCTCTCGTGTCTGTCTCTACCAGGATGTAGACTGCGCCTATCTGCGTAAGGCAGACCTGGAGGCCAATGTGGAGCCACTGAGGGAGGAGTCAGTCTTCCTGCGGTCCCTCTATGAGGAGGTAAATCTCTCCCCATCTCCGGAAGAGCAAGTGAGAGAGGAGGCAGAGGAGGGTTTTCTTGGAGTGTGGCTTGTCCTGGTTCCTGGGTTCTGGGGAAAGCCATGCATTCTCGGCTCTCCTAAGGTCTGGATGTTTTTCCTTCTGTGATCAGAGAGGATTTTTCTCTTGTTTGGGCTTCTTTTCAAAATGGAAGTGGGTGATGCCCTTCCTCTAAGATGATTTGAAAGAATGTGGTTAATTCCTGCATCATGAAGTGGAGATCTGACAATTTATTAATTCAGGTAGTGTAAAAACCCAAGCAGATAATCCAGGCCTCTATCTCTGGCCACAATTTGGTTGATTAGATTTGTGCATAAAGCTACAGTTGATCTGGATCATCCAGGCCCCACGGCGGGGCGACCCAGGCATACACATCAATCCGGTTCTGTGGATGCCTATATTAGTAGAATTCCACATTACTCATGGCTTTGAGGCCACGGTCCCAAATCGAGCCTTTTCCTCTTATAGCTACAGGTTTTAGATTTTCCTGACTTGCTGGTAGTTTTCTAATTTCAGAGTTGGGACTTAAAAAAATTTCTGAGGAGATGGGATCAGAAGGGGATTTCACTGGTTGCTGTCTCCCACAGGAAATCTGCCTCCTTCAATCACAAATCTCTGATACGTCCGTGGTGGTGAAGATGGACAACAGCCGGGAGCTCAACATGGACTTGGTTGTGGCCAAGATCAAGGCTCAGTATGACGATATTGCCAGCCGCAGCCAGGCAGAGGCTGAGACCTGGTACCAAACCAAGGTAGTCTGGAGGGCAGGGCTGCCCCACTGAGCCAGGAGGACAGCTGTGAGCCTCAAGTTTCTCTGGGAAACACAGTCCTGCACTCTAGAGGGGCTGCAGCTGAGGTCCTGGGCGGAGCAGGGTCAGGAGGTGGGAGAGCTGTGGAACAGTGGGCTGGCTGATGGGGCCGGGGACAGCAGCCTCCAGCCATCGTTTCTGCATGTTTGCCTCTCAACCCGCAGTGCGAGGAGGTGAAGGCCACAGTGACCCAGCAGCGTGAGAACCTCCGAAGAACCAAAGGTGAGCTCAGCGAGCTGAACCGCAGGATCCAGAGGCTGACGGCAGAGGTGGAGAATGCGAAGCAGCAGGTTGGGTGGTGCCCAGACCCCACTCAGCAGTACACCTGCCGCTTCTTGTCTGGTTGCTGCTTCCCTCCTATCTTCAGGGACTGCTATCCTCTTTGGAGAGGGGTGTATTTGAATTGTGCCGGAGTACTCTCCTATAATCAGCACACGAGGGCTCCTGTTCCAACACTCGCTTTGTCAAACTTTCTAATGCTTGTGGATCTGGTAGATATAAGCTGGCGCCTAATCGTTATTTTAACTTTTATTTCTTTGGTTAACTAGTGATAGGAAATGTTTCCTCATACACTTGCTAGTTATTTGTATTCCCCTTCTAACAACTGTCCACTCATACATCCACCCATTTTTCTACTGTGGTTCCCTTCTTTTTGCTTGGTGATTTGCAGTATTTCTTGGTCATTCTATCTGGATTGTAAGCCTTTGTCAGTTACACATGCTGCAATTAACTTTCTCTCAGTCTATCAGTTGTCTGTCTTTTATTGAACCCATTTTTTGTGTGTGTTTTGAGACAAAGTCTTGCTCTTTAGCCCAGGCTAGAGTGCAATGGTGCGATCTCGGCTCACTGCAACCTCCGCCTCCCAGGTTTAAGCGATTCTCCTGCCTTGGCCCCCCAGTAGCTGAGACCACAAGTGTACACTATCAGGCCTGGCTCATATTTGTATTTTTAGTAGAGATGGATTTTCACCATGTTGGCCAGGCTGATCTTGAACTCCTGACCTCAGGTGATCTGTTCACTTTGGCCTTCCAAAGTGCTGGGATTACAGGCATGGGCCACCGCACCTGGCCTGAACCCAAATATTTAACCTGGATGTGCCCAAATCCATCTTAAGTTCTTCCTTTAATGGTTTATACTTAGTGAGTTTTGAGGTAATGGAGGTAGCTCTTAAATTTCCCCCCCATTAATTTTATAGTTTTACCTCTTGCATTTAGATCTGTAATCCACCTGAACTTTATTTTTGGTATACACAGTGAGCAGGGTTCTAAGTTAATTTTTCTACATATCGTAAGAAAGTATGTAATCTATTCTTTCCCCAGTGATTTGTAATAGTACCTGCATCATAACAGTGAGCTCCCACACATGCCTGGCTCCATGTGTCTTCTCCCCGCTGTGTTGCTGTTCTTCATCACGGTGCAGGATGTGTCACTAGTAATTTGTTACAGTTAAGAGCGGAGTGATGAAATACGCACATGCTTACTTTTTAGATATGAAATTAGAGAAGATTCGAAGCTGTCCCTGTAATAACATTGCTCTTGTTCATTTTGCTTCTGACATGCTTTCTTTAGTGGGGTGAAGGGAGCCGCTGTGGTTTGCGTGCTGGGAGTTGTGCGTGGGAGCTTCTTTCAGCATGCTGATCTCAGCGGGCCAAAGAGTGAGACCCTGCACCATGGCTTTTGAATACCTGGCTGGGCACTAATTAATTGGATAGCTTAGGGCAAGTCACAGTCTCTCAGAATCTTAATTTCTTCATTTGCATAATGGGAATAATAATGCCTGTTGTGACAAGCTGGAAGAATAACTTCCAAGGTCAAGTAAGATAACATCTATGAAAGTGACTTGTAAAGGAACAAGTCTAAGGTGATGTCAGTAATAATGACAATTCCTATTTCCATGCTAACACTTCCTCCCTCTAATGGCTCACCTGCCAAACTCAAGTCAGTTTTATGATAAAGTGTGCAAAAATGAAGGAAAAAAAGATCCAAATGTCCCTGCCTAGTTCATTTAGGGACATTGATGTATTTCTTTTAAATAGTATCAAATTCAAAAGTTAACCATTTTGAAAGGAGATAAAATAGGCCCAGGCCACTGGAGACCCACCAGAGTCCCCACAACCTGTACTCTTTTCAAACTCCTTCCCTTCTGTCCGTCCCCACAGCGCTGCAAGCTGGAAGCTGCAGTGGCCCAGTCTGAGCAGCAGGGTGAGGCGGCCCTCAGCGATGCCCGCTGCAAGCTGGCTGAACTGGAGGGTGCCCTGCAGAAGGCCAAGCAGGACATGGCCTGCCTGCTTAAGGAGTACCAGGTGGTGATGAACTCCAAGCTGGGCCTGGACGTGGAGATTACCACTTATTGCAAACTGCTGGAGGGCGAGGAGATCCGGTGAGGACGGGGGCTCCAGGGTCCCTTCACATCCCTACTCAGAGCTGGACTGAAATCCTCTAGGCAGAGAATGTTCAAATTGGGAAAGACTCCGGAAAATTATGGACTCCAACCATGTCCCCATTTTGCAGATAGGGAAACTGAGACCAGAGAGGGGAAGGGGCTTGCCCAAGAGCACAGCCAGTTAATGGCTCAGCTAAAACGCACCAGTCTCCTGGCTGGCTGCCAGTGTGCTTCTCCCTCCTGTACAGCCCCTCAGGCTGGAACCTGAAGCCCCTTCCAAGGCCTCTACTCTACCCTCTTGGCTAAAAGAATGTTTCTGCAATTAGCCTCAGTGGGTTCTTAAAGCTGACATCATTCAGAAAATTAGTTAAAGGCCATTCGATTTGGGATGTGCAAAGAATCAACCTGGACAGCCTGGTGTTCAGGACCGGGGAGTAGAAACGAGTAGCGCAAGTTCTGTCCTTGCAAAAGAGGACAGGGCGGACATACGTCCGTCCTCCGGGGCCTGGGGTCAGTGGCCCAGGGAATGTGTCAGAGAAGGAGGCTGCCTTCTCAACAGCTGAGGAGGCAGGAAAGAGACAGGACACTCCAAGCTATGCTGACAATTTGAACCAAGAATTGAGGGCAGGTGAAGCCTGTGCAGGGCAGAGTGATGTGTATTTACGATTGGGATGATTGCATGGGCCTCTAGACTTGGGACGGCCACATCATTAGAGCTTCTAGTTGGGTCCCTTCAGGGCGGGGAGACTAGACTAGCAAGTACAGAGGTGAAGAGCACAGGCCATGAGCCCACTCTGGGTTCAAATCCCAGCTCCACCACTTACTAGTTTGTGACCTCTTTATACCTCAGTATCTTTAGCTGTAAAACAGAGATAATCACAAAACCCACCTCGTAAGGCTGTTGCAGGATAGGTGAGTTTTAATGGAACATGGTAAGCCCCGGTGGGAGGAGGTGATAGTCATGAGTCGATGGTCAGGCAGGGCAGCGCCCATGGAGAGAGAACTCAGAGGCCTGGGTGGCTTTAGAAACCGTCCATGAAGTGACACTCAGGGCAGCCAGGCCACGTGGCTGGACTTGCTCCGTGCTTGATTCAAGCACACACGCTTTTCTGTCAGTTTCCTCAGGCTTTGGGTGAAGCCATGGAGACTGAGGCTTTGGATACTGAAGCCCCCACCCCACTCACTAGCATTTAGTGGGCAGCTGGGACGTGCACTTGTTTTCTTTATGATACTAATGGGTGAATAACTCAATTACAGAATTACTGGTACACATTTCCAGTGCATGTGATTTTAAAGTTGACTTAGCATATTGTTCTATGTGTACTAGGGCCATTGACCTTTTAATAGACTGCCTCCTCTTGGCATTTAAAATATTTAATTTAATTACATAAGTAATGTTCAGTGCTGCCAATACAGAAAATAAGAAAACAAAAGTGGCCAGAACCTCTCAACTCAGAGATAAATGTTGCCAGCATTGTGGTTCCACAGGCATCACGATGGGCATCGTGGGTTCCTTGAAAGGGCACAGTCCGAAGGCTGTGGCAATGCCAGACTGAGTGGCAGGAAAGTGAGCCAGATGTGTACGTCCTCACTCCAAAGAGGAGCAAAGGAGTATTTTGAGTTGGGCAGAATGAAGCAGAGTAGAGCTTTCCTGGGGAAAAAGATTTGAAGTGGGGAGCTACAAACAGGGAGACAGAACAGAAAGTGCAGGTAGGTGTAAGGGAGGAGGGGGTGTTTATAAAAAAGCCCACTATAGTGGTATAAATGTCTCATCATAAATGATATATACATATTTTTTGAGACAGAGCCTGTCGCCCAGGCTGGAGGGCAGGGGTACGATCTCAGCTCACTGCAACCTCCTCCTCCCGGGTTCGAGTGATTCTCCTATCTCAGCCCCCCGGGTAGCTGGGACTACAAATGTGTGTCACCATGCCCAGCTAATTTTTGTATTTTTAGTAGAAAGAGAGTTTCACCACATTGGCCAGGCTAGTCTCCAACTCCTGTGCTCAAGCGATCCAACTGCCTTGGCCTCCCAAGGTGCTGGGATTACAGAAATGAGATGTTTATAATGTTGGTAGCAAACATATCCGATTTCCTTACCATGTGCCAGTCTCCATTTTAGGCACTTGCCATGTAGAACTTAATCAAACCTTACGACAATCCTTTCAGGCGGATGTTATCATCCTCATTTTATGCTGGAGAAATTGAGCCACAGAAAGGCTAAGTGACCTGCCCAAGGTCACCCAGCTAGTAAGAGGCACAGACAGATTTAAGTCCAGGCAGCCTGGCTTGAGAGTCCAGGCAGCCTGGCTTGAGAGTCCAGGCTCTTAACCACACCATACTGTCCAGCCTCCCTCTGTGTTGAATGAAATCAGGTAGATGTCTGGGGTAGCATTTAAAATCATGGGATAAAAATGAATGCATTTGAGTAATGGGCAAGCTTTTTCCTGCTCAGCAGCTTCCATCACCACTTTGGCTGTGATAGAATTCCCAGCCAAGGGACAAGGAGGATGCCCCCTCATCTCTACTTCTCAGTTTACCAAACTTCCATGGCCAAAAGGCAAACATGAAATAAAGTGACCTTTTGGATCCTGTAACCTAATGTGCTCCTGTCCTTTGAGGATCCCAGCAAGCAGGGCAGGCACCGATGCTGTCTGTAGCAGGTGGTATCCTGCCTCTGCCTCTTAGGGCCCCTTCCTTCCTTCAGCATGGAGGAGAATAGGTTTGGTGCAAAAGCAGAGGAACTCAGCACTAACTGTATACTCTCTCCTCTCCCTGCAGGCTGTTTGAAGGCATGGGCTCAGTCAATATCTGTAAGTTGGCTGTGTGTGGGCATGGCTCGTTGGGGTGTCAGTAATCTTAATATTAGAGTGCATCTAACTGATGAATAAGCCTCCATCTATGGAGTGGTAGACAAGGGACTCTGGAGCTGATATCTCTGGGATCCAGAAAAACTAATGACCTCAAATATTTGACCTCCACATGGATCCATCTGGAACATCCATAAAGTCTAAGTTAATGAATGTGGCAAATTCTGAACACCTATTTGGTTCTGCAAAAATAGCTCAAGCCCTTTAGTTACACACAGAATACTTCTCAAGTGGTAGCATGTTCTAGCAAGAAAAAATGCTAGGTTTATATTCTGATCATCTGGGTCTCTGAGTCAACTTGTAAATCTCTAATAATCCAGTATATACACAGCCCCTGGCCCAGGTGTCTGATTCCCCTCACCTCTCTAGTCTAGATGATTCCTCTAGTGTGATCAATCAGTTTTTGCTCAAAGATTGCATGAAAACATCTCAACATCAGCCTGGTCCAAGTAGAGCTAGATGTGCAATTTGCTAATCACACTCCTGAATAAGCAGATGGCCATGGATTTAGGTTTGCCTGTAGTTTAAAAAGGCTCATGCTGGTGGTTCTTCAGAGTAGGAAGAGAATTAATCATTGATTCTAAAGGATTCTTGGTCATAACATGTCTGAGATGGAAGAGAATTCTCACTCGTGTCTCTGTCCACAGGTGTGAGCCATTCCGAGGGTGGCGTGGTCTGCGGGGATGTGGACTCCACTGTCTACCGTGGCTCAGGGGGCGTGGCCATAAGCAGTGGTGCACTGTGGTCCCCCTCTGTGGTGAGGGCCTGCTCCAGTGCCTGGTCTGTGCAGTTTGTGTAGAGGGTGGTGGGACTCTGGACCCATGTGTTCTGATGGGGGCAGTGTGGGTTAGGGAGTGGAAATCTTTTCTTTTACATGCCCAAATGTCAGCTTAGTAATTTCCCCTTACAGAGAACCCAGAACTAACTCTCCTGTTTCCTTCTTATTGGAGTTAATGATTTGCTCTTCGGGTGTAAACCCTGGGTTTGATGTTATTTTCACTTCCATTGCTTCTCCCCCTTCCTGTGGTCCAGGAAAGAAATAGAAAGGTTTTTTGCTATAAATTGCTCAGTCATTGTCTTCCCTAGTTAACTTCAGGCTAGCAGATGTTTATTAAGTCCCGACTGTGTGCCAGACCCTCTTGGAAAGGAGCCAGCTAGAGGATGTGCAGTGTGTGGGAACATCTCTGTGTTTTGCCCTTGGATGAGAGGGACTCCAGATACTGTCTCACCATTGAAGGGCAGTGGGGGTGCAGAGCTGGGCTTCTCACTTGCTCTGAGAGATTGTATATCCCCAGAGTCCCCCAACTATTCATGTAACCAGATTGAAAGGCTGACAGAGCTAATCAGCTGGGTTTATACCATTGGTTTTCTGGAAGTTCATTGTATTTACATAATTCCTTTATGGCTCCTTCTTTCTCTTAGTGTGCTTGTTAAACGTCAATGGCAAAAGGCTTTTTCTTATTAACCAGGTTAATACCTGCCTCCTTTATTGTCTTCGCAACCCACCCAAACCCTGACTGTTTTGGTGCATCTCACAATGCACCGGACCACCACCTGCATCAGGATCCCTGTGGGGTAGTTGCCAAATGTGCAGATCCTGGGCTCCAGCCAGAACTCTCCATCCAAAGTTCTAGGGATGAGTCCAGGAATCTGTATTTTAACAAACTTCCAGGTGATTCCTAGAAGAACTAACGTTTGAGAACCACAGATTTATGTGGGCAGAGGAAAGAGGACAGTCAGACAATTATGGCCATGAAGTGACTTTTCCTCTGATTCTCATGGATTGGTCTAGCCCCTTTGCATTTCTGCTTTGTCTATGCTAAAAGGTCAGACCCACACACACACCAGGGCAGGGTGGGGGCAAAGGTACAAAAGGGGTGAGGAAGGGAGGGTCAACTTTCTTTCTGTTGTTGTACAGGAAGAACTATTTCTCTCACCTTATTTTATTTGGAACTTTTTGTTTTTAAGGTTTTTTTTTAAAACCTAACTGGGTAGGAAACATTTTGCTGCGAGAATGTATATTTGATTTCATGACACAGAAAAGCCTTTAAAAGGTGTTTTGTTTGTTCGTTTGTTTGTTGTTTTTCTTTTCCAAGGAGCGCAGGCACACTACCAGACCTCCCGGTACCAGCTCCAGACCAGCCAAGGCAATGGCGGGCACCCTGGCCTAGGGGTGGAGTCCGGGGGAGCAGGGCCGGGCCTTTTGACTCCCCACGGGTTTGCTTCCCACATCCCACTCACTATAGGCGGGAGACCCTAGAGGGTCTTTTAAAAACGTCTGCGCTTTTTCGCGAACTATGCACAAGTCTTAACAGCCGAATTGATCAAGTAGAAGAAAAGATATCAGAAATCGAAGACCAACTTCATGAAATAAAACAAAAAGACAAGATTAGAGAAAAAAGGATAAAAAAGAACGAGCAAAGTTTCCAAGAAATATGGGACTATGTGAAAAGACCTAATCTACGTTTG